ACCATGCTGGTATTAAACTAGTCGAATGGTGGCATATCTCCTTCTGATCTACAAGGGCTGCGACTGCCTGTGGTGGTGACTATTTGTATTTGTTTCATATTTCATATCACTTGCTGTCTATCTGTCTGTTGCACAAGGCTTTCCATTATGGTCAGCCTAATTCCTTATGTATATCCTTATTCCTTATGTATCCTTTCGCTCACTGGACCATCTAACCATGTAATTTACCAGTAAAATAAACGGGCATCGTTTCTCTGACCCTGAAAGCACCCTCGATTCGGCAACGTAGGAAAAGACGTGTATGTAGAGGTTGCTAGAATCTCAGGGCCATTCTAAGCTGCCTAATTCGCGAAGGAACAAGGGGATGATCTGTACCTACAATCTTGCATCTAAGTCCTCGATAGAACACTTTCTCATTCGAGCGAGAAGAATAAGGTACAACTTTATCGGACTGGTCGACACGAGACAACGTCACCCATTTAACGCAGTCTTCGAAACTGGAGAAGCACTGTTCTTCAGAACATGCGACAAGAGAGAAGTCCACGGCATCGATCTTCTCATCAACACAGGTTTGGCCATGAACATCGATCCATTCGAACGAGTAATAACACGAGTTGGACGTTTACGATTGAAGAGATGTGGATCAATACCGACTTTGACAATCTTCGTCGTTTATGCGCCGACATCAAACTATCACCAAAACGAAGTGAAAGTGTTGTATATGAATTTGGAGAAGTTCTACAGAGAACACCATACATTCTTTAAGGTCATCATTAGAGATGTCATCGCCAAGATTGGATCAAGAAGAATGTCTGAATAACGTCAAATTGAGATCCAAGGATTAGAATGGAACGAATAGGGCGAGCTGCCCTGAGTTTATCACGACAACCAAAATTATTCATAGTGTTGACTTTCTATTTACTGCCTTTACTAGCTTTCACGGCTGGGTATTATTTGTAAAACAATCACAATGACACTGAGATTTCGGGGAACGAACGCGCTCACCACCACTCCATGCGGGTTCTTCGTTTCGCCTGTCTCTCAGCTAGGCATAGTAACTCGCAATTCCAGAAGCCCCATCCTCAGCGCTGGACATGGGAGTCGCCCAATGGAGAGGACAATGACGAAATAGACTACATCATAGTAAACGGAAGGTTTTGCCTAACCGATGTCGTTGTTGTCTCAAAACTCACGGAATCAGATCATCGTTTCTTTCGTACAAGATTTCATTTCTTGCGGAGAGAAGAAAAGACTGCTAAATTCAAAAAACGAGGTCCCAAAACCACCATAAAGTGGGATCCATTCAATTCATTAGCCGGTTGTTGGGAAGATGCCGTTCCCGATAACATCGACGCCTGGTATGAACGGCTTATTCGACATCTTCACGTTAGCGCTATGAAAGTTGAGAGTTCGAAAGTCGCCAGGCGACGTCTGTCTCCAGAAACACTCGAGATGATACGCCATGAAGCGCACGAGCCCCAGGAAACCATGAACTGGCGTCCGAACTTGCAAAACAATGCAGACAGCCGCCCAGGCGGAACAGTTACAGCGTTCAGAAAGGCGATGGAGGAACTTATTCACGATTAGTATTCAGATCTCTTCAATAGCCACGTCCTCCTGCTTACACATGGAAGAAAAGAGAACGGAAATGTTATCCTACCGGTTTCCCTTCCGAAATCCAACGTACTATTTCGTCGGTGAAAAATCAAACAACACCAGATCCAGGCAGAACAAGACTTGAACACCTGAAGAACCTTCCGCCAGTTCTCGTAAGCACACTGGCTCACCTCTTGACACGATACCTATCTGAATTCTACGTCCCTACTGAGTGGAAGACCAGCAAGACCATGTTATTGCTCAAGAAGGGTGACCTCACGATATCGGCAACTATCGCCCAATCTGCTTACTGTCTGTGGTCTACAAACTTTTCACTCGAGTCATCCTGAACAGGATTTACAGAACACTGGACAAAGCACAGCCATGTGAGCTAGCAGGGTTTCGAAAAGGATTAGGTATAATTGACCACATCCACCCAATGACAAGACTCAGTGAAGTATCGCAAGAGTACAAAAGACCGTTCTGTCTCAGCTTCATCTACTTAAGGAACGTTTTCGATTCAGTTGAGACAACGGAAGCCCTGGGCAGCCACAGGCGATCCTTCTCAGTATATAAAGGTCCTCCTTCTATCTTCTCCTCCCGTCCTCTCCATAAAGATCCTATAAAGGAAGCTCCGACCTGCGTCAACGATCAAAATCAAAGATGCCGTTCTATATGCCAAACTGTCGAAGATTAGGTGTGTCGCCATGGATCAAGTCAAAAACAGGAATAAAAAGTCGGAAGACGTCCTGACGTTGAATCAGCGAGCTGAACATGTGTATGTAGAAGAAAGATATGAAACTCAACGAGTGCCTAGAGCGAGCAAAGGCCACTGGGCTACTGTTGCACGGGACAGTGGAAAATGGAAGATTTACCGGCGCTCGCTCGAGTCACCTAACTATCAATGGGGCGACAGTTGATGCAGGTGATATATAAAGGGTTTAATTGTCTAACTATGATTTTTCGCCTATCGTAGCGAGTGGAGAAGGCCCATGTGACAGAAGCATCACAAAAATAACGAAATTTCATCATAGCGTGAGGTGTGTGCTGAACTACGAAAATACATTCCTTTATAATACATAAACTTGGACTGTCCTCTGTGGCATTGGATAGTACGATAAAGATTTTAAATCACCGATTACTCAGAATTCCTTCTGACATATGTTAATATGGCCAAGATATGTGACGGACACAGTTGTGCTACAGTTCAGTTGAATCGCCTTGCAACAAACCAAAAGCAGCAACAGAAAGACGAGAGGTCTCCTGACGTTGAATCAGGGATCTCCTATCAGTGGCGGTGATGTTGCAAAACTATGAGCGCGTCCATTTCGTTCGAAAACGACTCTCATCAGAAGTGGAGCTTCGTACTAAACACATTCTACCCAATTAGCGTTTTCGAGGCTGTAATCCGCGTAATAGTTTAAAATTAAAAGTCGCGACTATTAATGAGTATATACCCAAATTTGCATCAATATTATGAGGAAAGGGAAGGTATTTTGAAGGAGAAAAAGTGCCTTCTACAACATCACTGTCGCTGGAATGAAGGAGATAGCGTACAACTGTTTGATGCATAGGTGTCATTTCTTAAGGTTCTAGATCAGCAACGCTCAAATGCCTTCAGAAGACGACCACGACATTTCATCGATAAGGATAAGGATTTAGTGCAAACGAACACGTACTATCTGTGTAAAGATAAGCATTCGTTTCTTTGCTATGATAAAAAAATTTACTTTCCCGTTCTATGTACCGAGCTGCTACTTGCTAATTGACTTTCATGAACTATGTAGGAATTATAAACTAACTAGCTTTGAACCCAGGAAAGTAGGCATTCATTTCATTAAGAGAAAAGCCAGCGAGAAATTGGAGTAGCTCACCTTCCTGGCAAACGGATAGACGATCCCTTCAAACACTGGCACCATAATAATCACAATGAGAGGATTGAGAATATTAATCTGCTCAGGAAGTGCGTTGATCCATCCAATTCGTCCATCGAGCCTACGGGCTTGCAAAACCCATGTAGAACCCTAAGCACATAGAGATGTGGATGACAGGATGGAATAGAACAAGGCGGCTATCCTGTAGCTTACCTGTTGGTCGAAGAGGGCCCAGAAGAAGACGAGTGGCCCGAAAATGGCCGCGACATTAACGAGGGAGCGAACGGCTTCAATCATTTCCGGCGAGTGTTCCGGTGCTGCCCTGTCTAGCCAATGTGATACAGGTTTAGTCGAACGCCTGACAAGTGTATGCTATCAACAAAGCTCTCTGCTTTCATGATCTCCAAAAATTCGTTGCTTCATATCTTCGAACTCCGCTGAACGTTTACGCAGAGATTGTTGGCATTTTTCGCAAATAGATACCTTCGCGGTTCACCGTTTCTTCATTGATGGGGGAAAGGGTTATTTGTGCCGCACTATACAGCGGAGTTAAGTCTCCAAAAAAGGTTATTCAGTTTCGTAAGTTTAAGAATATCATCTGGAAGCCGAATAGACAGATAGTAGAAAAATATCAGAAGATGCGCCATCCTTGTTATAATTCCAGCCAACACGAGTTTCTCGGGATTTCACGAAATTATGCTAAACCAGCAACGTAGGTTCAGATACAACACTGGATCTCGCAATTCTCAAAGGCAACCATAAAAATATTTAAACACATTTAACGTATGACAATGAATGTTTGTCTTCAAGAAAGCCCTTTTCACTTCAGTTTTTATGATCACACGTTCAACTAAGGATGGCTTCAGCGCACGTAGGCAATTTTAGGTTGAAGAATTGCGCTCTCATTAGTTCTGTCCTTCTACAGGTTTTCTCAACAAGTCTTCACTACTCTTGCATGTTTGATGTTTATGTTTTATTGTACACGCAGTCAAACCGTATGCGGGCGGTTCTCACTTTTTCTTTGGGTCGGGTGATACTCGCCTAACCTCATCTTAACCCATATAGGTCTCGTCAGTTGAAGGATAAAACCGGACCGGCTGTTTTTTGATGAGTTTTGTACCCTTTCAAAAAGTGCTTGTAGTAAATGAAAATGTATTTGATAAACTATCAGAAATTTGAACCACAAGAATATGTGTTTCGCGACAATGATGTGCTTTTATTAACAACCGGATCATGTGAATATTTTTAGGTTTTTGTTTTGCTCTCTGAATGCCTCACCGAAATAGCGTTCTAGTTGTGGCCAGGCGGATGCAACCCAACACCGCGCCGGCTATGTTTTCGTGCCTCGGTGGGTGCTTCTTGTATATACTCCATCCGCAGAGGAAGAAGAGCAGTGCTATTAGCATCAGCACTCCGGGAACACCTATAACATAATCATGATCACATCCGATCCTATTCTGTTTATCCAGTAAAAAAGAATAAAAGCTTTCGGCGTTGATCAATCCCTGAGGGATGTGCCATACATTTGCCATTGCCATCCCTTCATTAAGTACCGTTGGAGGTGATCGAGTGCATATCTGGCTTAACAATGACTCGCGGTGGACTACCGATGTATCGAGTCAGTGCTGCTATCCTCCCAGACAACTCTGGCACCAATCTGCCGACCCCGGAGGGATGGAAGGCTTGGTGAGCCATAGGCGCGGGGTTCAATTCCACGTGCGTGTCGCAGTGGCACTCCAACCACTGTGCCACGCGCGCCCTTTATTCAGTAACGAAGGAAATTCGGATTTTCAGCACTCCCCGCAGTCATAGTTTAAAGCAGTATGTCTAACTAAAAGGAAATACCGAAAGCAAGTGGGAAGCAGTACTGCGATCCAAAACAGCTAACTCGACCACGAAGGATTGGCGTCAGGAGTGTGGCAAACAACGATCCAGCATTGATAGTGAAGTAGAAAAAGGAAAAAAACTGCGCACGCAGGTCGCTTTGACTCTCGGAGAACTGAAAGTAAAGCCCATCGGATCGCTCTCGATTCAAAAATAGACGAGACCAACCCACTTGATCGGCAGCAAAAGCTGCCACACATGGCTTGATAGAACCCGTACTCACAGCAATCACGAACAAACCGCTGAAGTCTAACAGTTTCCTTACAGCTGCAAAGATATATTTCAATGTTTCTTGAGAAGGTGTGTGGCTCACGACGCTACTCACTCATATCGATGGTCGGCACTGCTCCGAATGAAAGCAGAACATGGCCGAGCACGTAGATAGACGAACCATGAAGGATCACCTGAATACAATCGATATGGATAGCATGGAATGGTTTTAAATGAAGAGTGATCTTGTGTGGAAATTATTCATTCAGTTTCTCATTTCTGGATATCCTACTGTGATGTGCTTTTCGACTTTGGACTCTAGTCAACATTTCAATTTAGATGTTCGAATAATTCATCCAGATGTTGGAACACACTATCATTGGTATGGTAGAGATACGCCTTTCAATCTTTATATGTCAATATCTATGCAGCTGAGAAAACACTTGCTATAAATGATCATTCCTATAGTAGGGACATCTGCCACCAGTCGGTATCGACTCGGTATTCTGAGGTCCAAACGCAAGATCATGTAACGAAATAGACCACATAGTAAGCCGAAGGTTTTGCATAACCCATGTCGCTGTTGTCCCAAAATTCTTCATGCGATCAGGCAATTGCTTCCTTCGTGCAAGACTTCATTTCTCGCCGAAAGGAAAAAGCCGGAAATTCAAAAAAAGAGGTCCCAAAACCACCATGAACGAGATCATTCAGTTCATTAGTCGGCTGTTGGGAAGATGCCATTCTCAATAACATCGACGAAGAATGCGATGGGCTCATTCAACAACTTCACGTTAGCGCTGTGAAACCTGAGAGTTCGAAAGTCATCAAGAGACGTCTGTCTGCAGAAACACTCGAGCTGATACGCCAGTGTGATATCACTCGGACTGCAGGCAACCGCAACTGACGTGCGAACTTGCGAAAAAGTGTGGACAGGTGACAAAAGAAGATCTTAAAGAGAGAAGAGCAGCAGTTATAGTCGAAGCTGCAGAAGCGGAGAAAAGCATTCGCAAAGCCCACCGATGCTTCACCAATTACAAGACCACGATGATTACACTCCGACGCCTACGCGAAACAGTTACAGCATCTAGAAAGGCAGTGGAGAAGGTAATTCACGATCACTACTTGAATCTCTTCAATAGCCACGTCCACTTGATCTTATGTAAAACAAAGGAGTATGGATATGTCGTACCACCTGCTCTCCTATCTGAAATCCGAAAAGCTATTTCGTCGGTGAGAAATCGAACAGCACCAGGTCCAGACAGGATAAGATCTGAACACCTGAAGTGCTTTCCACCAGTTCTCATAAACACATTGGCTCGGCTCTTCACACATTATGTGCCTGAAGGCATAGCCTACTCAGTGGAAGACCAGCAAGGCGGTGCTATTGCTCAAGAAGGATGACCTCCACGATTTCGGCATTCGGCAACTGTCGCTCAATCTGTTTACTGTCCGTCATCTGCAAACTTTTCACCCGAGATATCCTAAAAAGGATTGACAGAATACTGGACGAAGAACAGTCATTTGGACAAGTACGGTTTCGAAAAGGATTTGGTACAATTGACCACATCCGCCTGATAACAAGTCTAACGCGAGAGTACAAGAGACCGCTCTGTCTCAGTTTCATCTATTTAAGGAACGTTTTCGGCTCAGTTGAGACAATGTAAGCCCTGGGCAACCAGGGCGACCATTCTCAGTATATAAAGGTTCTTCCTAAACTGCATAAATTTTTCACAACTAGTACATCTTCATTCTACAACGGTATTAACATCGACCTCACAAGAAGGTTTAGACAAGGGGATACATTTCACCAAAACTATTCACCGCTACCTTCGAGAACACCAGGCGAAGATTGGAATCCGACAATGTGGGAGTAAAACTCGATGGTCGGAGCTTAGATGACCCCATAACGCCAAACACTAGTCAAGCGGAACGAATGCTTGCCGACTTTGACAAAGCCCGTGGAAGGAATGGTCTTCAACTAAATCTAACGGAAACGATGTTCACGAGGAACGGATTGGTTTCATAGGCCTTGTTCACTTTCAATGGAATAAGTGTCTCCGAATGCTGCAGTTACGTTTATTTAGGTTTGGAAATCAAAACGATTTAGCTCCAGAATTGATCAGCAGAAAAAGAGCGGTTTGAGGAGTTTTCAAGTGCATCGAGGAGGATGTAGCGAGAAGAACAAAGAACATCCGACTCTGTGCCCACCTTTTCGACTTCGCGATTCTTCCTGTATGCGTCAAAAACCTTGTCGTTACGATAAAAGATCACTCACCGTAATGAAATATGCAGTTGGAAGGACAATGCTAGAGGTATCCCGTATAACGCAAGTGTGGGAGAGTATCCGAAACTCCAACCTGCGAAAACGGCCAGAAATCGAAGACGCTGTTCTATGTGTCACATTTTCGAAGAAAAAATGGGTTATACATAATACGTACTGAGCAATAACCGATGGACAAGAGCGGTTAGTGACTGTCCCGATGCTCAGAGTTCTTCACGAAAACGCTAGAAGAAAGGCATGACGCTCGAGTCTCTGGAGCAAGCAGAAACCACCGCACTACTCTTGCACGTCACAGGGAGAAATGACGGGTTTATTCTACCTTGCTTGAGGCACCCTTCCATCAAAGTAGGACAGGTGATGAACTATTAAGTAAGCACGGCACGTATAACACAATGGTTAGAGTTGCTGTACAATGCACAGTAGATCGATCATTGATTCGATCCTACGCTACGGGTTCAGGGAGGTTTTCATCCATCTGAGACAGCATAACCGGTGCGAGACTTGTATGGGAGGATAGAAACGCTCGCTTAACACATTAGCAGGCAACTAAAAGTTATTGTATAGGGCCTAGGCATTCAATCATCTCTATGGTTCTTGATGAAGTAAAATGTACGGCATTCCTGATATGGACATGCTATAAAGATTTTGATCTCTATTGACTACTGAAATCGAAGATTGTCATTTAAAGTCGGTACCACTAGGCAACTGGCTTTTGGAATTCCCCACAGATATTTCGACAAAGTAGTCTCACCTTGAACCTTCCCCAGTAGGAATCGGCAAGAATCGAACCGGCGAGCGGCGTCAGGTAAGCTATGCAAGTAAAAGCATGGTACACCAACGTGGAGAAGCTGAAATTGTGCGAAATCGTTCAGACAATTCAATTCTACACCAGCGACTACTGTAATGAACCTGATTCTGTTATGTTATCAGGTCAAACAGCCAGCAGCGCCGAATGTTTTTCTAGGATGTTACTCCCAGCTCAAACCAATTCATTCTAGCTACATCTAAACAAGTAGTGAAACGCAAGTGAAACTCTGGCAATATATGACTCTATTTCTGTAACATCCGAAAAAGGTTTTGTAACATAAGAATGCGTGTGGCGCAGTGATAGGTGTCCTGCAACACACGTGGAATCGATCACCGTTCCACTAGCCCACCAAGCTCTCCATCCTCCGGGTTCTGCAAATTGGTACCAGAATTGTCTGGGAGGGTAGCAACACTGGTGCGATACATCGGTAGGCCACCGCGAATCATTGTAAAAACCAGATATGCATTTAGTCACCTCCAAACGTTGCTTAATGAAGTCGAATGCATGGCGCATCTCTCAGGGATTGATGAACGCCGAAAACTTTATCCTTTTTTGTAACACATTTTGCCAAAAAATACAGAAAAGCTTAATGCTTTCTGCGATTCACCATCTCACTTCGTTCTCAATACACGGCAGCGTCAAGCAACGAATAAGTAGCTTTTACCTCTCACTATAGCCATGTTCGTAGATGAAGTAAATGGTTAGTATGGCTTTCATGCCATAGAACGAGAATCGCTCGCAGAACTCATTCCCGAGCATCAGAAACACGGCACGTGGATATCTGGAATTTCCAATGCATCAAATGAGTTGAGCAATCTATCCATTCGATGTATTCCAATAAGATGAAGCGTTATTCTGCTTCAATCTGTTTTCTATTCCCTGATATTCGATCAGTTGAAACTGTACGTCCACATATTATACCTTTTTATTTTCTGCCTACTATAATTTCGCGGCAGGGTACTAAGCGAAATACAACCACAACGTTGCTGAGATATTTGCGAAACTCTGGACCGCAGGTGTCTATGGTGGGGAACGAACGCGTTATTGTCCTTTCCGGGGAGTAACGCGTTCACCACCACACCATGCGGGTCCTTTGTTTCGCCTGTCTCCCAGCTATTTCTATCGATCTTTGCCACAGCAATCACCCGTCAGCGGGAATGATCTGGGACGCCCAAATCGGCATAGAACCCAGTTAAGAAAGGACAATAGCGCGTTCGTTCCCCACCATAGACACCTGCGGTCCAGAGTTTTGCAAATATCTCAGCAACGTTGTGGTTGTATTTCGCTTAGTACCCTGCCGCGAAATTATAGTAGGCAGAAAATAAAAAGGTATAACATTGTGATTTCAACTACAGCCGCAGCTTAACTGGGTTCTATGCCGATTTGGGCGCCCCAGATCATTCCCGCTGACGGGTGATTGCTGTGGCAAAGATCGATAGAGATAGCTGGGAGACAGGCGAAACAAAGGACCCGCATGGTGTGGTGGTGAATGCGTTACACCCCGGAAAGGACAATAACGCGTTCGTTCCCCACCATAGACACCTGCGGTCCAGAGTTTTGCAAATATCTCAACAACGTTGTGGTACGTCTACATATTTGGAAAGAAATGCCTCTTATTGGAAAACTTTTTTGCTTCCTGCTGCATGTGGATCCTTACGCAGTTCGTCAAAAATATAAGAATATTCACGATTTGAGACTGCAGATAAGGCCGTGTTCCTTCACCGTTTCTTCTCGCTTCGTCGAAAGGGACCGTTCTCGTCGTGTTGAACTCTCTGAAATCATCGGCAGATTTTTGGGAATGGAACGAATGTCCAGAACGAACTACAGTTAAAGATCAGTTGTACAGCTACTTTCTAACACATCCAACACTTCGCTGCACATCGTGTTCTGCTACAAAAACGTCTCTCACCATTCCATTTAGGCCTTAAATTCAACGATGATCGGGTAATCCGTCAAATGAGGAGCAGTGAGATAAGAATAGACTAAATGAGCAGTCTAAAATTTGTAGATGGTCGAAAAATAATGGAAAGAGTAAGGAATGAAATTTTAATGAAGTGAAAGTCAAAAGTGCTATCTCCTGCATCTGAATAGTGTACGAAGGAAATCGGTGGCCTATCAGGACCCCTATGTGAACGTCTCACATGCACTGTTCAATAATTCTGAGATCCTATCCCAACAGTCAGCCATTATTACATTGCAACGTTCACTACAACTTTGGGTATTTGTTTTCATCTGTGCAGACGTTTTCCAAGTTCAAAGAATTATGCTCTTCATCTTTTTTACTTTAAATTGCTCTCTTAGTCACGCAGGCAATCATCTGATACTGACTACTAGAACTCTATTGAGCGAACAGGGCAATTATCCAGAAAGTTCCACCAAAGTATCCACTTAGGGAAACACGACAGTGACGACGTCGTTCCACGATAAGGCTACGCACATGCTTTGTATCGAACATGAATCGTGTTATCGTGATGAGAATCACAGAAGACACAGTAGCTGCGTGCTTTGCGAAAGTTGTGCAGCACAAGGTGTCTCATATTCAACAAAGAGCCTCATTTCTTTAAGGTTGGCGAGGTAGTATAATACTCGTCATGTACCGCTCGCTTACTCGTAGGTTGGCTTCTTTATGCCAGTACATATCAAATCCATACGCTCGCTACTGCAGTGAAATTAAATTGTACTTGAATAGGCGGCACCGCTTACTGGGGCCAACAAACACCTCTCTGTCCCATAGCTTATATGTTGAGGCGATTTTACCTAGCTTTTACGAATGCAAATATGTCAATTATACTCATTAAATGAACAATTTCCGGTTGGAGCAGTGGTTTTCGAATATACTGGAACTGGTGGGGCGGCAGTTTGTGACATGGTCGTTAAACGGCCAAAGTGATTCGACATTCGGAAATATTACAACCATCGTATGTAGCCGTGTCACACATTGTCGACTAGGATTATCGAGAAGACATTCGAGTGCTGTTAATACGTGCACGATAACGAATTGTCAAGGAGAGAAGGATAGAGCTTCAGATTTTCGATGGATTCACCGTGACGCGGGACAAACCTTGATGACTAGGACCATCGGCGAGACATTCATGTGCTGCGACCACATCCATGATAATGATTTAGAAAGTTCGGAAACGTGCCATGTCAAGGTAACGGGAATAGGTGTTTAGATATTCAATGGGTCATCACTGCTTTCCAAATCGAATAATTCTCAATGGTCGTAGAGAAATCGACGAGTATAGCCAAATTTCTCTCACGCAAGAGCATAATCTCGCATCAGCGTGAATCTCCAGGATTTTGAATAACATGGGTTAACGCGTTACGTGTACATGATCCCAGTTAGGAATGTGAACATTTCTTCGTGGAATACTGGCAATCCGGTTGAGAAGCATGAGCGACGGCTTCATCAATAGCCGATTGAGGTTTAGGTCATCATTCTACTTGCTACCAAGCTCGGTCTGTTGTCCACGAATGGAACACGCATTTTCTATCGTCTGTTCTTAAATGATAACAATAGCAAGACAGGAGATGGACAAAAATGATTAATGAAGTAATATATCTCTTAGAATGTTGAGATTTTTCCTGTGCTCGAAATCGCTCTTGAGAATCAAAGCAGGGTAACTAGAAGTATGTGTAATGTATGCACAATTCGCTCTAGGCAGGGCAATGACTTGAAAAGGATTCTTGACAAAGGTGCTTCAAAGGGGAAAGCCAATGAATGGGAAAGGGCCTAATGAATGTGTTGCCTTTCGAAGACGGACTTGACATGGTTGAACAGGTCCTGTGTAGCAGCGGCACATAAGCAAGTGGGTACTCCGGAATGACGCCGTTTAGAAACAGCACTGAGACCACCCATGTGTCTCAAAATAGAAACTATCGAAAAAAATCGTGCCAAATCTGCAATTCGCATGCTATACGCCGTGAAGTTGAAGTAATCGATATCTTTAACAGAATATAGTGAAATGCAACCACAGGGATGCTGAAATGCGCGCAAAACTCGGAACGAGAGGTGCGCTTCGGATCCACGACTATCGTTTCTCGTGGGGCTCACACGCTATCCACCACATCAATCGTGGCCCTTGCTAGAAAATGGCAACGACTATGAACTGATTGACACATATAGGATTATGAAAGATCGTTCGTACTGTACGCCTTACCGGTTTCCTTTTCCGAGACCTTCTTCGATGACAGAGCCTCGAAAGTGGTGACCTTGCTCACTGAGTGACTTCTGCTCGGATCGCTCTAGAAAACGCTTTGTTCGTATTATAGTTTTCATGCAGTGCACGATGATAAATGTTTGACAATAGAACCTTGTTGTGCTAGAATCTCACTCAATCGTTAAATGTACCACATTTCGCCAAAACATAATCAAATTTCACATAAATACTTGTGAAGGAACGAACGTGTGTAATGGAAATCTCACATTAGCTACCAATCCAGAGATTTTCATTGTGGGTTGTACTTCGGCTGAATCGCACGCTCTGAAACAAAACTTCATTTGATTAAACTCTTCCTTACTTCAGTGTTAAATGTTCTTTTTTTTCACCAAGCTGGAGAGATTCGGAATCAGAATGGTCGTAAACCCACTATTTCGGTGGATGTCTTCGCAGCCACAACTGTCTAGCAAGCGACTCCGATGAAGAGTGAAATGAAGACCTACTCAGACCACGCTCAATACCCGCATGAGCTCGTTGTTAACTCGTGTTTTTTATCATTTCGGGTTTGCCATTGTATCATTGTGCTCTACGCACGTAATTTCGACGCGGTATCACAGTTAAAACGTATTATGCTTCCAAAAATCCTTACCGCAGGTATCTGCGGTGAGGAACGAACGCGCTATTTTCCCCTTTCTGAGGACTACTCCGTTCACTGCGTTCACCACCACAGCATTCGACTCCTTCGTTTCGTTTTTCTCTCGGCTAATTTTCTGTCCACCATCGCCGTCAGCAACTCATGACAGAGACTAATCTGTGGAGCCCAAACTCACATAACACAATGTCGTCAAAAAATGTTATAGGCAGTAAATAGAAAAGTTGGTACTGTGGCTTCGACTACAGCTTCAGCTTAACTGGGCTGTCGGTTTGGGCTCCCCAAATCAATCCCATTGACTGATGTCATTGATCGAGAGAACTGCCTGAGAGACAGGCGAAGCGAAGGACCCGCATGGAGTGGTAGTGAACGCGTTAGCACCCAGAAATGGTAACAGCGCGCTCGTTCCCCACCATAGGCACATGCCGTCCCGCGTTTTGCAAATATCTCAGCATCATTGTAGTTGTGTCACACATAATACCCTGCCGTCAAAAATTGTAGTAGGCAGTGAATAAAAAAGTTAAACTTTCATATTCCTTCATAAATTCTACAGTTAATAGCCGAAGAAATGGCGCTAATCCGATGACAGCTGTTCCAGATCCACCTTTCCCTTCGTTCTCCGATTTTCTCGTTGGCTTCTTGCGGTCTTCGTATAGTGATTTTTAGTATAGCGAGGATAACACCGCGATAGCTATGCCGTTTATGACGGGTGCTCGTTGGAAATGTGACATGCTCTCGATAGTCCTGCACTCCCTCCAGGGTCGGTAACTGGTTACTAGACTTATCTTAGATCAGACCAACTCAGTCACTTCAGTTCACATTCAAAGGCTATAGCACAAGAAACCATAAACCTCAGAAAGAGCCGACTCGATCATCACACTTTGACGAGGCGAGGAACTGCAAGCCAGAAGCCAAACCCATAAGCTGCTAGAACTTCGACAGTGAAAGCCGCAAGGAAAAGAATCAAAGGTAAGAAGCGCTGAAATTCCCAGAGTGGATGTGAGGACGGGTCAGGTAAAATAGAAGTGGAAACTATAGCAAATAAGAACGGGTCCCAGTCTTCAAAAACGAACCCATCATCGTTCTGAAGTTTCATTTTTGTATGGGTGCAGTACCACACTCTTGATTTCTTGTATGTCGTGATCCACGAAAACTAATGCGGACCCCACAACACGGGGTGTTACTTAATTTCTTTATTTGCGTACAAGCTGACGTTTCGGCGGATTTCGCCTTTTTCAGATCCTGGAAAGGTCAAGTTGACTACAATCTACACGGCCAAACACCTCCATAACCAAACAGAGAAAATGCTGGAACAAAATTTCAGAGACAGGCGAAACAAAGGACCCGCATGGTGTGGTGGTGAATGCGTTACTCCCCGGAAAGGACAATAGCGCGTTCGTTCCCCACCATAGACACCTGCGGTCCAGAGTTTTGCAAATATCTCAGCAACGTTGTGGTTGTATTTCGCTTAGTACCCTGCCCCGAAATTGTAGTAGGCAGAAAAAGGTACAACAAAATTTCAGTCACAATGAACACAGAGTCTTTGCACACTCACCGCTTTCTATGAGTCTTCCACTAAATATGTTACGTGGAGACCAACCGCACAGAGTTCACACGGAAACATATTGTGCCCATCTCATCAAAATAGCAGGCTTATATACCGCCCAATATCACACGTGATAATGAGGCATTCCTCCCTACGTTCATTTTCGGATTCCTGAAATTAATCCAGAATGCCTCTAGAGTTTTGCGCGCTTGTGTTCTCGATTCTTGCGCGAGGATCGTAACCGCTGCTTCAAAATCTTCTCCGTTATGTCTCTGCGTCCTATGCGTGCCTAGTGGAGTATTTGGTTTACGTTTGCCGACTAGGTGTTCTTTTATACGTACGCAGAGTGGCCTACCCGTTTCGCCAACGTATTTGTCTCCGCACGCTTTAGAAGAGATCAGATAGACTGTACCCGAACTCATGCAGTCACCGTTTCTAGCATTGGTGCAAATTATGCAGTTTGCATCTGATCGGTCGTATAGGCGGTTACGAACTAGCTGGCGTCTTAGATTAGACGGTGGTGTTTCGATTATCGTTACCGAATTCTCTAGACTGGCCC